AGTCTCAAGCCCCACCTGACCATTGGTCACATGAGCTGTCTGGATTGCTGCACATGGGGGGCGTGATGTGGAACTAAAAACATTTTGGAAGTCCACGGTTCATTTGAACATGGGCGGGACAATCCTAGTTGCACGAAGAACACGAAGATTACCCAACTGAACTTTTGGTGTTCGGGAGGTTTTGCCCCTTCTTGGAGTAAGTGACATTGTCTGTTGCTTGTATGACCGATCCTCAACACTTCAAAGCAGATCTGTGCTGGACATGGATTCTCATTGTAAATGGTGCGCACCAAAGGGCGTTCAATTCAAAATCAAACTTGTAAGTGGAAAATCACCCATGCCCAGTGCGTGGCAAAATACAACTGGGTGCTGACCCCGAGCTCGGTGAAGCTTCCACCCATCAAGCTTGCACGGGGTTTTCTTGAGACGCATATCCCAAAACTTCCAGGTGCCATAGCCAGGGGAAGCCAGCGTTTGCCAAAAGGAGCATGCCACAGAAAAACCGACGACCCTTCCTCCCGCTTTGCCATGGCACTTGTGGTTGGAGGTACTAAGTTCAATTTCCTCTTGGAGGGTCAGGTGCCATGGCAACGTGGGAGGGAGGCTTTGTAGGGAAACCTAGAAGCCCCACGTGATCATATGTCTTTGGCTTTTGCATGACAGGCTGCAGCGACGAGGCCCTTCAGGGCCAGGGATGTGGGGCCTTGTCCAGTGCTTCCATGTGATTCAATGGACCATAGTACCGTACCATTTTTTGGTCGGATCTTTGGACTTCAACTTTGTGGGCAACAGTGGATCTTTGGACTATCGTAGCGCTTTATGAATATTTGGGCAGATCTTTGGACTTTAACTTTGGATGTTCCATTGGACCCACAAAAGGTTAAACTCTTGTTGCACAGGGGTCGTTGTAGCAACCAAGACCAGGGTATCGGTTTTGAGGCAGTTGTGCAGCTAGGGACGGCTTTGTTCCGTTTTTTTTTCTCAGCGAATCCACCTTCTAGCCTCAAGCGTTTGACTCTTCGGGCTCCGAGTCCGTGTTTGTTGGTCCTAAAAGGCGACCGCCTATGCAACCAGCTCCTTTCAGACGCTGATTTTTAGCCACAACACCCGTGTACTTGAAAGTCAGCATGCGGTTTGCCCGAACCCTTGGGATCCCAGCGTCTTGATTGTCATTCGTTGGACGCGATTATGCTTGCCGGTTTGGATGCCCAAATGCTAAATGATGGTTCTGACTGCACCAGTGTCCAGTTTTCCGCCGCGGAGTTAAAAAAACAAAAAACAAAAACGGGACCTGTTTGGCCAAGAGTACGGAAGTCCGGGGGTTTTTGCCTGGATCACATGCAAGCCACTGGAAGTAACCAGCCATGTTCCCTGTCGTGTGTTTAAAGGAAGGTAAACTGGTAAGCCCCTTGTTTACAACAAATCCACGGGCTTGCTGTGTTGGGCGCATATCAACTCTTTGGTGTCTGAGCAAGTTGCGTCGGAGGCAGAACCTCGGTCCCGTCTGCGCAGTCGAAGCAACTCTCGTCACAGATCTGCCAGTCGCCAGCAGGTCTTTGGGACCAAGTCGGATATCCACTTAATGGCCAGAACTGAACTCGGATAGCCATGATGAAAGCAATGCGATGAGCGCACGTTTGCACCCGGCGTCAAGGGTGCGGATTCTCTCGTTTTCGCGAGCTCAGGCGGCCGCGGGATGTCCTGGAACCCACTCAACAGGAGCAGGCCGCTGTTTTGGGTTTTGTTTTTGTTTTTTGTTTTTTTCCAGCGTCGACTTGCTTGAGGTATTACTTACCCACCAACTAACCTGGAAGTGCACAAAGCCCTTGCCAAAAGGAAAGTAGTTTCTTTCCACCCACAAGGGTCTGTGCACTTCCATGTTAGTCGGTGGGAGGGTAATTGGTGGTTTGCATTGGTTTGGGGATTTGAACCCCAGGGTCCTGATAGTGGGTAAAAATGGTGAACCACTCCCTAACCTCCAAGCCACTAATTAAGGGTAAGGTGATTGTTTGCCATTTTTCTTTGGGTTCCTTTGCTTAATTCCCCTCTCGCGATCAAACAAGCGGACCGTCCAGCCATTCCCGGTGTTCTCAGTGAGTTGCTCCATGTTTGACTGGACGTGCGCTTGGTTTCCCTTGAGCCTGTGGACCACACGTCGGGCTTGTTGGGAGTTGGAACTGTATCAAACGCCCTATCACAAGACTCGTTTGGCCCATCCACCTGTAACATGTTGGAACACCGATGGTTGAAACAGTGTCCGTTTGGACCAGGGTCTGTAAACTCAGTTTGCCCAACCCTGGTGGCAGGGCGACCTGGTTTCCTCGCCGGACCATGATCACATCTTACCTATAGTAACGAATACAATTTGGCCATTCGAAACATTTACTTGTCCACCCCACCACGAGGAAACCCATTAGTCAGATGGCTAACAAAAGAAGGCCATGCAAAACATGACAATGATTGACCGTCCTCCCTGCCTCTTTGCCACATATGGCTCGCCCACCCAGCCCACCGACCCCATCCCGCGCACAGCCCAAACTCGGCGGACCTGGACCTGTACACTGGCAAGGGAGCACTCCCCTTGAAGGCTCAAAGAGATCCAGAAACGCACCAAATTCTGAGATTAGCTTCCTTCGTCCTTTCAACTCGACCATTTCCTAAGTCGTTGTTGTTTTTCGGAGGACTGTGAAACGCTTGCGCTTGCGCACATGTTTCTTTCAGCAGACTGGATTGTCCTTGTACGACTGAGCACCTTATGACACAAATCCATGGACCTTCTAAGAGGCCTGTTGATTCCTTGGGATCATGGCTACAGCTACACTACAACCAACTCTGCATCTGTCATCTTACCTGAACAGTCCGCCATGAGAAATGCCCAGATGCGTAGTCCATTTGGCTTTGGTGCCCTAAGCGCCTTAATTTGATTCCTCTAACATACTTTTTTATGTTCTTCTGCATGCACCACACAGATGCCCACAGGCATTCAAACTTGTCAAGTGTTAAAAGGATTCGCAAAGGAGTCTGCGAATGATAGTTGTTCGCGAGGGATTTGGCAAAGCACTCCCCGCCCCGATTTTTCTATGGAAATCCGTGCTGTAAAACCTAGTGAAGAATACCCAGGCGTTTCGGATTCCACCCAAAGCCCGCCCGCTCAGCGCTGGCTTGGGGATTTGTTCGCAGGAGATGAAGCCCGCGAAAGACCCCTTCGAGTCGGCGCAATGGCCCGCGGCCTTGGGGCGTCCGCCAGGGGGAGGGGGGGGGATCGCTCGGAGAGCCGCGGTTCGAAGCTGAAGGCGACTTCACACAGAAATGTCCCTTGGAAGGATCCAACCTGACTTTGGACATGCGCCAAGTTCTTTTTTCCTTTTTTTTTTCCGCATGGACGGATGATCAAGCCTCCAGTTGCTTGCCTCAAGACTTGCCGAAATGGGCGTGTCCCGACATGGTCCCTTGGATATGGAAAGCCCAAAGGACAGCAACTTTCAGGACATCCAAGCTTGATCAAGAGTCCTTTGATTTTTCAAGGACTCAGCAAACCCCCACAAACATGCCAAGTCTAAGGTGAAGTCTAGGTGCCTTGATTACAACGGAAATTACAGCTGTATTGTACATGTATGTGTGTGCTTGCGTTGTGAGAAGGCGAGCCTATCTCCTGACTTCAACGTGTTTTTCTTGTTCAGGCCCCAGAAACTAACGGCTTGGGCATGATGCCTTCGTGCCAAATTCAGTGCCACGGTCCGGGGGGGGGAGGACACCCCCTAATTACGGTGGATGGACGAACTTCTCCACCATTTCAGAAGCCCCGGTTTCTGATGATTCCCCTGTGAATACCAACGTTATGGTTTCAACCGTGGTTTCAAACTGGGGATTCCGTCCACAGTAGTGAACTGAGGTTGATTAACTTGGGGTTCCCATTTGAGCCACAATCAAAACCCGGGTAGCTGAACGTTAAGGGACAATCCCCGTTGCCAGAAATAGGTGCAGACATCTTGGTAATTCTTGAAGCATGGTTCTGGGCATCTTGCACATTTTTTATACCGGGTTTTGATTGTGACTCGGGTAGCGGCTCAAAAATATGTTCACCTCAGGCGTCTCAAATTTATTTCACCTTCCATGGGTATGTCAATTGTTTCGGAGTTGGTACCCCTTTTTCGGTGGCCAGGCAGCTTGGTGAGCGCTCGCATGAACAGTCCCGCTTCCGAGCCTGCATGGAGCACGCGCGCCCTGACGACGGCTCATATCCCTAGCTCCTGGATTCGGATTCGCACGATGGAGACTACGCCGTCAGAATATTCGAAACTACCCAACAGACCAAAGCAGCTAAAACAAACATATTGCCGAACAGGGACAAACTCACAAAATTTTCCCATATTCTGATACTATTTGGAGGTGGTAGTTTGTGGGGGGTAGTCTCCTAATGGGTGAATGACATAGACTGACCTTGAGAAAGGCAAAACAACGGCCTGCTACAATGGCCCTGACAGGGTAGCCAGGAAATTGGGGAGAACGCACTATCAAAATGCGAGGCATTCTGTGGGGATCCAGCACGCACCTTTTGTCTTGGGCGTTACGAAAGGATTTCCGTGACAAGGGTTAGCTGGTTTGCAAACCGGGCAAAACACATAATCCAGTTACGAAAGGGAACATCAAACTGGTATGCTCATGGCCAGCGGCGAGACACTGGCACCTGGTAACCACAACTATAAATAGGAAGCAGCGAGACAGCTAGCAGCAGTTTCACAACTTGGCAACCTGACAGATTTTATGGAACGCGATTTTAGATGTCATTGCCAGTAGTGGTTACAACCCCGTCTCCCAACTGGCAACCATCCGATTGGAATGCTGGTGGCCCGAGCCATCCCCTTAGCTTTTTAGCCTTTGAGTGTTTAGTGGCAGTTTCCATTTAACCCACTAAAGGTTAGTCACTTTTAGCGGGGGCTCCGAAAACGACCAGCCCAGGAAGGGCTCTTCAGCCCCAAGCGCCCCGCTAAATCCGCGCCATGGACTTCCGGCAGTGGCAGCAGTTGGAGCTGCGGCTCACCGCAGTGGAGCAGGCGTGGGGTTGAGGGGCGACTGGATGTCCTGCCTCCCCCCCTCCTTTTGTCTCGGTGGCCCGCAGCGTCCGGTTCCTTCGCCTTTTTTCGGCTTTTAGTTGGTTTAGTGTTAGAATCGATTTTACCCACCAAAAGTTAAACTTTTAGCAAACAAATCTGAGGGCAGCCCAGCTTTGTTTGTGCGCAGGTTTCCCTTTCAACTCAACTAACGTGCAAAGAGCCACCTGGAATCGTACTGTTGCACACCTGGTCACGCTGCCCCTTTTTGCCCACTGGATCTGTCGGTTGGAAAGACAATTTTGGGAGTTGGCTGCAAAAACCCATTGAGGGTCCCTCATTGTCCTCTTCTCGAGAAAGCCGACTGCAACTGGGGTCCTCCTGGCCAAGCTGAGCCATTGGGCATGTGACTTGATTTTCCTGCGCCCGGAAAGGCTGGCTGGAGTTTAAAACCCGCATGGCCAATGGCCATGGGTCCTGTGGATGGACGAAATCCGTTCGCACCACTTGGCAACCATGGGAATCCATTGTTCATTGGTATTTACAGGGAAGCAGGGTTTCTGATGTGGTGCAGGATTTCGTCGATCCGCAGTGGTCTTAATTGACGGTTCACTTCCCGAGATGCGGACTTTATACTTTGTGGCAAGGCCCATGTCGCACGCACACAATAGGTTCGGGAACTTGTTTGGCTTGTCCACTCAGGAAGCGAGTATTACTTTTTGCAGATTGGGTGCTCGCATTGTCATCGTTCTCCATCCATCGGCTTCTGGTTATATTGTCAATATTGTCCCGCATACTGTTCTGACGTTCTTTTCTCAACTCCCCCAGTCAATCATATCTCACTTCCCAAGTTCCTCGTTTGCAGAGAAGCCTGAGAAGCCATTTGAGTAGTCAACAACAAGTCTATCCATTTCAGAAGCATTTCAAGCATTTCAGAAGTGAGCGTTGTTTGGTTCACCGGTGCTTCTTGGTTGCCGGAGAAGTCCCGGATATCCAAATACCACTCCTTCGCTTCTTGATCGCCACTGAACGATTGCTCACTGGAATAAACCCAGAAGTAGGGCCGAGGGTCACTAGTTTCCCCCAAACAGTTGAGCAATGGTTTCCAAAGTCCGTTCCGATTGCGGAGGTCCAAGGGACACATTGACGGGACCTCTGTCGGCCTTAAGCTTCAATATCCTTCACACGATTCCATGAGCCCAAGGGCAAGAAGTCGGCTCCTTCTGCATCTTCGTTTGCGGAGATGGTGCGAGCGCCGATTGGCATGAGCAAGCAGGAACAACGAAAGATGAGCTTGATTGCTATGGGGTTGGATGTGTTTGGCTTTGACTGTTTGGGAAATGACGGATTTTGTTTTGAACGCGCAAAAAGTTGAACTTTTTGCGGAGGGGTCAACAACCAAGACAGAGGCAGTGTTTGCCGCGGCTCTCACAATGAGTTGAAGCGAAGATCGCGGAAGGATGACTCGGTACAGGCCGTTTAGGGAAGTCCATGGTGTTACTCGAGTCTTTGGATTGTTTTCAGCAAGTCGAACCTGGACATCGGAAAATAGGATCTTGGGGTGCTTCGCGTGGCCAGTGGCTTGCCCAGTTTATGGTCCGGCTTAGGCCACTGAGCCTTTGAGCTTTTTGTGCGATATCCGGCGACCAACCCAGAGGATTCATATGGGCAAGTGTTGGTATATCCGGCTGGGAGGAGTCGCTGGAAGTAGCTTATTGGTTCATCTTTCCTGACTGCTTCCCAAAATTGAGCATCAAAATAGCCGACCAACCCGGATGTACAAGGTATACCCCGCTTGGATTACAAGTGGCCGATCCCGTCTCTTGTGGTGGGCCCGGGATTTTGCTCCCGGAGGCCATAGCCGAGCTACGCCCCAAAGGCATTGTGTGGAGGGGGGCCTCGAGGCATTCGGGGTCAAATGGCGCCCCACAAGACGAGCAAAAAGGGCAACCCGGAACAACGGAAACACGTATTTTACTTGTTTGCTTACAGTGGTTTAGTGGTTTTCAAATCCAACCACTTAACTGCTAAATGTTAAATGTTTGCTCCCCTTCCAACGTCAACCAAGCAAGGAGCCCAAGGGTTCATTGCAATTGGCAGGGGTTTCCGATCCCCAGGCCAACAGAGAAGCTCCCAGGACTCCTTTGGAACGGCCTGGAAGCTTCCCTTTGGTGAGGTACGGACTTTGGCAGCCATGGCTCAACTGTTTGGGGGGAATTGAGTTGAACCCTACTCCTGGGTTTAGTCCAGTGAAATGTTTGCAAATGGGCTAGACAACTCATTCACCAGCACTGAAAGCCTTTTGCATGTGAAGGTCGCTTCTTGCACTGTTGACAATCCCTGCATACGGGTCATATGGGGCACCTGCCCCAGCTGTGAGGGGGTACTGTACATGGAAAACTTGAAGGGACAGCTGTCCACAAGGTCCATGAGTTAGAGAAACGCATTGTCGCCCCCCACACACATGAACTTGCTTAGACTCGGTTTCAGTGGGAAACATAATGCGCCGGACGAATTGGCCTCCAGTTTGATTTGCGTGGCCTCCCTCCCGTCCTAGGCCAGGAAGTTTGACCAGGAACCTCAAAAGCAGTTGATTTGTGTGTGTGCGCCGTGTCCGCGGAAGGATCCCTGAAAACACAACATGCACATACACACACTGTCGGCTGGTTTCCTGGAGGAATCCAACAGCGCCTTGCCACATGTAAGACGCTTTACGTCGGCCCTTTTTTGGAGGGTACCCTTGTTGAGGGTGATTTAAACAGAAATTCCAAGGGAAACCAACCTCATTTGGGTGTGATGGTTGGTCCCTTTTTGGGGATGCTCTCGGGTTTTATGATGCGCAACAAGCCCACTTTCTACCATTTTGTCGGTTCCATATCCCATTGTTCGGTCTACCTGAACTTATAGTTTGCCCAGAAAGAGTGGCTACCTTTTGCTTTCAGGTCCTTTGGTTGCACATGATATTTCCATGTCCCTTGCAAACGAGAGATCAACCCTAGCTAGTTCCCACTTGTTTCTAATTACTTGTCTGTTGCTAGGTTCCCAGGATTCGCTCTTGTCACGGATTTGGTTCGGTAGAGATTGCCCGCTGCTCGCTCCTGTTGTCTTGAGATCCAAGTCTTTAGCAAGATAATGTCGTGAACTATGTAGCGTCTCTGTGTGCACAATTCATAACGAGCTCACTGGTTTGGGGGTAGAAGGGTTCTTTCTGAATCCTTCCTTTGATTGTGATCCCAGTAATTTGCCCGAATTCCGAATGCGGGAAGTACCACTGCATAGGTGTCCTGTTGATCGGCTAGCTTGGTTAGAAATCGGTGGGTTCGACTAGATGGTTGTTTTTATTCCATTTTCCTGAGGAATCCATCTATTTCACCTGCTGTGGATGGGCGAAATCCATTTCGTACCAGCGTCCAGAACCCCTGGTTTCTGCGTCGATTCCCCAACGTACATAGCAACCAAAGTTATGGTTTCAACCAGTAGCACTGCAGTCTTTCAAGGGTCCGCCCGAAAAACCGACAAATCTCGCCAGACCCCAAGCCGGTGAACGCCTCTTCCGACGAGGAGCGCCGTGTTCCGCGAACGTCGGGTGTCGTCGTTTGTTAGGCTTCGGACCCCCAAAATGGGTGGGCTATCCTTTGGGGTTTCCCTTCAACACCCGGAACAAGGGGTGTCCCCAAAAGCAGAACACACCCAATTGGTAAAATAAGCCAGTGTCGTGTCAGCATGTTTTTTTGTTTGTTTCATTTATAAAGATCTCTGCCTAGGCCTCTCCTGCCCAGTCCCACAATTGTTGGGGGTCTTGTTGTCCAACGTCCATTTGCTGAAATGAATTCCCTCCCAACCAACATGGAAGTGCACAGACCCCTGTGGAAAGACTATGTTCCTCTTCTCATAGAAGGGGCATGTTAGTTGGTGGGAGGGTATTAGTTTTTCCCTAAAATCTATCACTACTGGAAATAGTTCCTATTTTTCCAGGGGACTTCGACAAGTAGAAGCCAATATTCCTGGGCTTCCTGGGTACCATCCTTAAGGCTCATGACCTCTCCACTGCAGGCCCCAGGAGCCCTCCAAGGAAGAGCCCCGACTTAGTCCCCCAGCAACGCCCAACGCGTGCGACACACGGGTTACTTACAGCTGCATGGCATCTGGGGTCCAAGAGCTTTGCAGAACTGCTTGGTTCCAAATGCAAATTGCACTTCTCGGACATACCTGGACCCTCAAAAAGGAACATGTTTTTTGCTCATTACGTTATTTTTGCTCAAAGAAGATCTAGGTATATGCCTTGTTTTTTTTGCGGCGCCCGAACAAATTCGGGGTAACTGTGAACTGACCGACCAAAAACAGGTGTGGGTTCCTTCCTCTCGGGACGGGCTTGGGATTGCCCCATCCCGGAGGTCCAGGGTTCGAGCATGAAAAGGGAGGCCAAACCGTTTTCATAGACGAAGTCCATGTCGACGGTTTTATTCAAGCGAAATGCGGGAATGAATTCCCCTGTATCCGGCAAAGAACGGCTACCATGGGCTGACCGTACCTGGGAGGTATAACTGTTTGGTTTCGGCGGCTCTCAACCTGAGCGATAGTTTTGGAAAGCGGGAGAATGTTCAAGAGGAAATGTTGCAATTTATGTGGGGTTTGTTCAGGACCAGCCTCAAACTAGGACCCTGGTCAGAAAGAGACCCCCTTGGATCCAAAGCTTCTTTTTCGGAACCTTGTCTGTTCGATGCCTTTTTACGATTCGAGGCTCCTTCAAGAAGTCACCCCCAAAAAAGGTGGCCATGGGTCAAAACCAAGAGGATCCCATTTTGGGATACCATTTCAGAACCTATTTTAGTGGTTGGATTGGGATGTTCCCTGAGGGTACGGGCTTTTGGACCCATGGCCAGGTTGGGATCGGAGCGAGGTTTGAGGCCGTGGTCTTCCTGACAAATCTTGCAACTCTACGGTTTCTG